CCAACAGCAACAAGTTATTGGCACCCTTATAAATTCATGAGAAAATATATTTGAAGTGTATTCCTATTGATATTTTAACACTTTTAGTACACCTGGGTGACTAGGAACAGGAATTTGTTAAACCACGACTTGCTGTTTCACAGGGGTATAAATATGAGGTAACAAATAGGCCAAATTAGCAATTCATAACAATGATTGTTAATGTTTCATAAAATGTAGTTGAGCAATGTTGTTGGGAAGTGGCTATAAGAAAATAGCAAAATTCATTGAAAATGCCCATTTCCACCATCAGGGCAACTGGAAATACTATGAATCAACCTGGAATTGGTTGTGTCTATATTGTCTCAACGTACTGTGAAGAGGATGGTTCGATTGGCCAAAAAATATCCAAGGGTCAAAGCTGGAGAATTACAGAAGCTAGTTGCGTCTTTGGGTCAGAAAGTCTCAGAAAGTACAATCTTAAGTCACATACATCACCACAAGTTGTTTGGAAGGGTTTCAAGAAAAAAGCCTCTATTCTCATCCAAAAACAAACTCAAGCATCTTCAGTTTGCCAGACACTGGAACTTCAAATGGAATGGGGTTCTATGGTCAGATCAAACCAAAATAGGATCTTTGTCAATAAACACCAGAGGTGGTTTTGGCACACACAGAGAGGAAGCCATATGGAAATGTACCTCATGCCCAAGGTTAAATATGGTGGTGGCTCTTTAATGTTTTGGGGCTCTTTTTCTGCCAGAGGGCCTGGACATTTTGTTAGGATACATAGCATCATAGAATCCTGGTGTGGTCTTCTGCTGTTGCAGTCCATCCACCTCAACTTATGTGTGTTGTGTGTCCTGAGATGCATTTCTACTCATCACCATTGCAAAGAGTGCTCATTTGAGTTACTATAGACTTCCTGTAGGCTCAGATCAGTCTGGTCATTCTCATCTGATCTCTCTAATCGATAAGGTGTTTCAGCATGTAGACCCTCAGCTCAGAGGATATTTGTTGTTTTTCAAACTATTCTGTGTCAACTCTAGAGACTGTTATGTGTGAAAATCCCAGGAGATCAGCAGTTTCTGAAATACTCAAAGCAGTCCATCTGGTACCAAAAACTATGCCACAGTTAAAGTCAAGAGATCATACTTTTTCCCATTCAGATGATTGATGTGAACTGCTGAAATGCAGTTCATTGCAGAGAATGAACTATTAGTTAAAATTTGTTCTACACTTTGGATGAGTAAGAGTTCTGGATGTCAAATGGGGTTCCACTTACAACCTTCTCTGAAAAATAACCTTCTGCTAGGGATCTACATATAAAACTTTAACGATTAATCTAGGGGAACAAACCAAAGAACCATTTGAGTGTTAGTTTTTTCTGAATGTATTTTCTATCCATTCTCCTTGGCTGATTATTGCCTGTCATGTCTCAGTCATTGCCAGTATCTTATCACATCCTATCTCCAAACCTAGTATCAACCTAATGTGCATTTCATTGTGGAATAAATGGCTCAAACATTCATTTTTACAATGATAGGTCAGTCAGGTATGCTATATACTAGGCATGCTGCAATAGACGCTGTTCTCTGTGTTACCGGTGTTCAGGCTGTGCAGCGATTACATCGCTTGCACACCCCAACGCCACCCGCCCTGTCGTTTTGCCTGTTTATAGTAGTAAAAATCATTTAGTTCAGTTAGAGAACGGATGCTACAATTAAAAACTAAACGCGTCTGCTCCATTCAGCATGAGCTGAATGAGTCAAAGTTGCAGCACAAATTAGCAGGAGTTGGATTTCATTTAGCATGAGAGAGAGTGAGGCAAGCTGTCTGATAACACGAGGGCAGAAGATCTGGTTTAATATAAGTGAGATTGTCATTGTACTGTTTTGTAGTTGTTCTGTTTTTCATTAAGAATAATAATGAACCCACCATTCAAGCAATTGCTGCCCCCGAATTGCCGCTAATTCGAAAGTGATAGTGAAATGCATACAGCTGCACTGGCATTCATAAGCAAATACTTCCCCCATCCCCACCCTGGTGACATCAGTATAAAACACCGGTGTAAATTTTCCTCACCGTCACATCCCTAGAATTTACTATGGGGTTTTTTTTTTGTTGTTTTTTTCTCATCAGTACAATGTACTGGAAATGAAAGTGACAAAATGGGTTTTGATCAGTACATGCCATTAGAAGTTTGTCCTGACAGCAAGTGTTTTAAATTCAAACAAACATTGTTCTCATTCTGTAACTATGTCCTAAAATACTACTGAGGGGTTTTTCATTTCTGAGCCTTTAATCAAGTTATGATCTTACATCAGTAACGTTTATTATGATTTAAGGCATCAAAGCCATTATGCATGCAACGCCGTCTCTCCACAAGCTGACTGAATTTCTCCTTCACTTTGGTGATCATTAAAACTAATTAGAAGAACTAAAACGACATTTTAGATATAATGTAAAATATCTATACACTACAGTGGATTTAAGGCTGATTACACAACCACCATTTAGCCCTCTTAAATCTTAGACAATATACTTAAAAACACTTTTTATACTATTTTTTTTTCAACATTGAATCTAAGAAAACATGTATCTAGCCATTAAATGAGTTAACTCATCTCAGACAACAATCTCTCTCTCTCTCTTTCTTTCTTTGTACAAAATTGGCTATGTACTTTTTACAATACTTGGCTGTATTTTGCTTTTAAGTGACTCACATGGTTTAACCCTCTTACCCCTTAGTTCCCACAGTATTATGTCCCACAACCCTATATTCCCCATAGAAATAACATGCCAACCCTGAGTTCCCCAAAATCAACATTTTAATTTAAACATTTATAGGCCTTGAAACAACATATAATAATGTATTGGTGTAATATTACTTTGAAAATGAAGCAGTTCAGTGTTTTTACTCCCCTTAGAGCACAATTCTTAACTAGAGAAATTACGAAAAATGCTTGATAAAATCCTTATACTAATTGAGAAGTACCATACGAGCATCAATATGGTCAATGCCTTTGAATAAATTCAAGTAAATAATAAATAAATAAATGCATTTTAGCGCCAAAAGTCAACTTTCTGGTGATAATCAGACCAACAGGTAGTGTTTTCACGAATGCACAGAAATGGTCAGGTTATGACTCCACACCCCTGCAGTGTCAGTCGGATCAGGAGAGTTTGAATCATGAGAGTTTGCGTCACTATCACTTTCGGTTTCGGTGGGCAGCATCAGAACATTTCTCTGACATTCCCTCCAAGTTTAGGGATACGATTTTTGATGAATACAGCTACAAGTTCTTTAGATACCAATGAATAACCTACTTAGCAATAATCAGTCAGATGCATCATAGAACATGTCGTTTAGCCCTGTTTAGATTTAGTAGTTAATTTGAAATGAACTGCATTACTTAGTGACATTAGTTACCTTTGATTGAGAAGGGTTGCTGCAGAGAAGAGTGGGTTTTGTTTTTACTTCAGATTACCATGTCCGATTTTCAAGAACAACATCCTAGGTCGGATATTTCTCTAACCTAGAGATTTTTTCACTTAGCTTTCTTTACCTGGCTTCCTCTGCTTTGCTGCTACACTGTAAAAGTCCATTTAACTCAAAACATTTGAGGAAACTAATTACCTCCAATTTTTTAAGTTGATAAATCAATTTCTTTAAGCCAAATACACTTAAATTTAACAAATTTCAGTAAAATTTTGTTATATTTATGTGTATTTGGCTTAAAGAAATTGATTTATCAACTTAAAAATTTTGAGGTTTTTTTTTAATTAAATGAACTTATCTGGTTTTACAGTGTGTGTGTAGTGTATTTTTAAAATGTTTAATCAGGTTATTTATATCATAGGAAGATGCTGTAGATGCCTGCTCTTGATATTTTTCGCAAAGCCCTGTTTGCAGTCTGCTTTGCTTTATTGTCATCATTAATTATGAAATATGTCCATATCTGTGCATATTTCATGTTGTTCATTAGAGAGACAAGGTACACTAAGTTTACACTGCATAATATTATGTTGGGATCAAAGCACTTTTTCATGAGAATAAGAATGCATAAATGAGCCAGATATTGAACAGACACTCAATACTAGTATCGGTTAGAGGTTGACTGATTGATCAGTTTTGCAGATTAATCGTACCGGTTATCAGCAAAAATCTAGTTAATCAGTTATCAGCAATAATCCACTCCAATTTTTCCTGGTTGCTTCAGTTGCAGAAGTGGCTGAGAAGGATCAGCTGTTGTTATACAGTACGAGAGCTGCCTCTAGAGGCAAAATAAAAACTATCATTGACTAATTTTGTTGTGTTATTTGAAGTGTTTTTTATTATTATTATTCATTTTGGATGTCTCCATTTTTATTTGATATTTGGAGTTCTACTTTTTGGTTCAGTTTGAATGTATAATTATTAACTTTAATATATTTATCCATCCATCTTCTACCGCTTACACCTTTCTCAGGGTCGCAGGGATCCTGGAGCCAATCCCAGGGAGCATCGAGTACAAGGCAGGGTACACCCTGCACAGGGTGCCAGTCCATCGCAGGGCACAATCACATACACACTCACACACCCATTCATACACTGCGGACACTTTAGACACACCAATCAGCCTACCATGTGTCTTTAGACTGGAGGAAGAAACCAGAGTACCAGAGTACTGGTAACCAGAGTACCAGGAAGAATCCCCTGCGGGATTCTTCCGAGAACAAGCTCCGCACACACATGGCCCCGGCGGGAATCGAAGAGGTGTGAGGCGAACATGCTAACCACTAAGCTGCCGTGCGCCCTATTTATATATTTGCAGAAAAGTTCAGCAACATTTTACTTTGAGTATTATGTTTTCATTAGTTGATTAATGGCAGGTATTGTCCAACTTAATTATCAGTAATCCTCTAGTATTGGTGCATTTATGGCATTTGGGCAAACATCCTTATCCAGAGTGACTTAAGTTTATCTAATTTTATACAACTGAGCAGTTTAGAGTTAAGGGCCTTGTCCAAGAGCCCAGCAATGGCAGCGCTGGGATTTGAACTCTCAACCTTCTGATCAGTAATCCAAGGATATAACCACGAAGCTACCACTGCCAGTGTGCTGCTAGTAATGCATCAGTTTACAAAAGTCCCGTCTAAACCAATTGTGTGCAATATTGATTTGGGTGGGTTGGGGGTATGCTGAGGGAAGCAAGGCTTGAAACTTGACAAAGGAAGAAGGTAAACAGGACAATCTCACAAACAGAACAACAACTGTGGACAGGGCTGACCCAAGCACAGGTCTGCTTGAGCAACTATGATGGACCACTACTGTTTTTTACTTGGTCAAACCCATTGTTTTCCCCCCGCATGCTTCTTGAATTGCCATAGAGCGTGAACAAACCCCATAGCACTTTTCAATCACACAGTCTAAGAGCATTCTCGGGGGAAAAAACATTATAAAACATGACTGACATAAATGCCATGCTTCTAGGCACCGTTTTTTTACAAGCTCTTCGCCTCAACCAGACATGTTTGTACTGCAAAAAAAAAAAAAAAAAATTCTCATAATAGTTTTTTTTCTAAGCAAATGAGTCATTAGTTTCACTTGATCTTACTTGCCAGTGTAGAAATCAGATGCACCACTCTTGACGTATTGGCTTGTTATAAGCAGTCTTATCCTATCTATGACTCTCAATAAAGCTCTTAGATATTTTGAAGATCTGGATAATACAGGCAATCCATCACCATAACAACAGAGCAGAAGCGTTTTGCTGTAAGGAGCCTGGTTATTCTCAGAATAATTCAATAACGCTGAAAGCATTCACCAGGCAGCTTTTTTTTGCGATATAAGATTATAACCCCAATCAATGAAAACATAAGAAGCTTCATCATCATCCTAAGAAGCTTCATTCATCATCTTGTGCTTGCTTATTGGTAACTCCACCAAAAATACTTACCAGCATTACATTATTGTCTATGCTATTTAATGCTGCAAGGTCTTTCATCAACTTGAGCTTATACCTCTTTTAAATCCAATAAGTATAATGCAGCTTTTATACTGAATTTTACATAAAAGTCCACTTAAACCAATGTCATTTATTACATTTGTCTTTAGACTTTTGTTTCCTCAAGGACAGCATTGGCATTCAAATAACACTCACACACACACACACACACACACACAGTTCTTTTGTTTAAATTATGAGTTTCGAGCTCTGGTTCATAACGACTACTGGGATTAGTGTACTGCTATATACATAAATAAATTCATCAGCAAGTGGCTATGTTTCCTTCGGCAATATTCTCTGATGCATAGAAAGACAGAAAAATGCATTGTGGTTAATACTGAACTCATCCAGTACCACTGCAACATCCAAAAGTTCAAGATGGCCTCATACTACCAGAATTGTAATTTTACAAAGTATACAAAGGTTAAAGTTAGGATTAAGGCAGGGTTAGCATGTGTAGGGTTAGCAAGTGTTTGCTTGAGGCTGAGCCATGTGCTAGTTCAAATTCATACTTTTATTTTTTTTTTAGCAGATATGATTAAAACACTAAAAGAATAAACCTCTAACTAGAAAATTCAGGACAGTATGTGACCCAATGATTTTTATAGCTTTTATTTTATTTTTTTTAATCTCTGATTGTTCTGAGGTAATTAGCAACATAGACTTTGTCAGCTCAGTTTCTTACTCAGTTACGACTTACTCGGTTCACAACATAACCTTTCTTAGTTTAAGATACTCAGTTAATGACACAGCATTTGCTAGCTCAGCTTGATAAGTTGGTGACTTAGCTCTCATTGCCATAGCTTGCTCATGTCTTCAGTTAACACCATAAACATCATTAGCTCAATTTGTTCAGTTAGTATTATAGCCCTTGTTAGCTAAGCTTATACAGTTACCATCCTAACCTTATTAACACAGTCCGCTTGGTTAGCACTGTGGCCTTTTGATGGCGCAGTTATTAGTGCCATTAAAGCCTTTGCTTATTTTCTCACAGGAAAATAGGTAAAAAAATAAATAAATAAATAAATAGATAAATAAATATAAAGTGTAAGAATCCAAGAAAAACAAGAATTAAACAGTTTAGGACAGGAAAGGTCCCTAGTTTTTCCACAAGTATTTCTAGAGACTAGCAAAAGTACACACCACATGCCTGAATTTAAACTCACACTCCTGAGGACATTATTTATCAAAATTTTATTCAACATTAACATACACCATAAACATGAAATTGAAATGCCAAGCACACTCTGCTTTACTTATCTGCTTTCCTGTGTTAACAGGATACAGATCAGCTCCCCTGGCCAGCCTCCAGCTCCCTCCCTGCCCCCTCCACTACACACACACATACACCACACACTACCCAAATAAAACATACCCAAATACACCCACAAACAGATAACATGTTGACACACGCCAGCATCACCACCATCAAGCCTTCCAGCTCTCACACCTGGTGTGTACAAGCTCCTTTGGGACCACTAGTCTGGCTACAGCTCACCCCCAAAATCACTCCTGCTTTGCTCAACCCCAGACAGCGATTTACATCCCTTTGTCTGAAGGCAGACATAATTCTCCATCTTTCCATTATGTATATGGATTGGTAGGGGCAAGGAGGGGCAGCTGGCTCTCCAAAACCTCCAAAAAAAAAGGGACAGATTGGGGAAATAACATTGTTCAGTCCAGATGCTTAGCAGGACCCTGACAACCTAAACTTTTTGCAAAGAGCTATTTTTCGACTCTTTGCAAATGTAACAATGGCGCATGCAGCAGGTCTAAAAATAACCACCTTATTACAGGGATGATTTATCAACATGAGGTATGACAAGCTATTTATACATGGCAATACCAAATCCCAGCACTCCAACACAAACTTAGACTTGCAATAGCCTAAAGAAAAAGGAGACAACAGTGCCTCGTGCCACCCTGATTACAATTAATCTTACTTTGCATTAGAGGCAGATATGGTCGTTAGGGCTAAACCACTACAAGACTCCTCTACGGCAATTTGCAAAGCCCTTGAGAGACATCGAGTGTCACCATCTCCGCTAATGAAGGCTCTGAAAACAAAGGCCTTTCATTGGGCCTTGGGCCCCCTGGGACATGAGGGCTGATGTCATTGTGTCTATTCGGTCACCAAAAAAAAAACAACAACAACAACCTCACCATGGCAACCAGGGAGATTGTTCTTGTGAAAATGGGGGAGGGTGATTAAACAAAAGCATGGGTCCCCTTTAGCCTATCACATGGAGATAGCCCTTGCTTAGCCAGGGTGGAAAGAGAGCTGACCCTGCCATATGCACGCAAGTCCTTCAGCGTAATGCTATTACATTTGATGCCATCAACCATAATCCAATCCACAAATGTTATGTTTATCTGGGCATTACCATCAGAGTTTGCAGTAAGGATAATACTGTAGAGGGCAAAACAGAATGATTATATGACAAGAAGAAACACCTTACCCTGCTTTCGATTATATGACAAGAAGGAACACCTTACCCTGCTTTCACAGTAGAAATAGATAAGTTGGTAATGTCATCACCCATTTGGCTCTTGTGGGCATGTCACAATCACTTGTTCATTTGTGCCTGCATGCCGGTTGTTGTTTTTTTGTTTTTTTTTGTAAGTCTTTGTAAATATTTAGGCTACATTAGGCTATTTTAATATTGTTTTAGTTATGTATTCAAATAGTTTGTATTAAATATTCATTACCCTATCATGCAGATTCATTTGCTCATTTATATTAATTAAAATGTTCAGGAACCAGGACTAAGATTATGAAGTTTATCCCAGGATCATTGGGAGCGAGATGAGAATACACCCTGGACAGGAAACCAGTCCATCACAAGACACCACACGCACACACATTTATACCTAGTGGAAATTTACCAGCATGCATAACATACACTGCTCAAAAAAATAAAGGGAATTCTAAAATAACACTACAGGCCAAACCCACGTTGATGTAATGTCCTTAAAACAAGTCAAAATGAGACTCAGTAGTGTGTGTGGCCTCCACGTGCCTGTATGACCTCCCTACAACGCCTGGGCATGCTCCTGATTCGGTGGCGGATGGTCTCCTGAGGGATCTCCTCCCAGACCTGGACTAAAGCATCCTCCAACTCCTGGACAGTCTGTGGTGCAATGTGACATTGGTGGATGGAGCGAGGCATGATGTCCCAGATGTGCTCAATTGGATTCAGGTCTGGGGAACGGGCGGGCCAGTCCATAGCATCAATGCCTTCCTCTTGCAGGAACTGCTAACACACTCCAGACACATGAGGCCTAGCATTGTCTTGCATTGGGAGGAAGCCAGGCCAACCTCACCAGCATATAGGTCTCACAAGGGGTATGAGGATCTCATCTCGGTACCTAATGGCAGTCAGGCTACCACTGGCAAGCACATGGAGGGCTGTGTGGCCCCCCAAAGAAATGCCACCCCACACCATTACTGACCCACCGCCAAACCGGTCATACTGGAGGATGTTGCAGGCAGCAGAACATTCTCCACGGCGTCTCCAGACTCTGTCATGTCTGTCACATACATATGCTCAGTGTGAACCTGCTTTCACCTGTGAAGAGCACAGGGCACCAGTGGCGAATTTGCCAATCTTGGTGTTCTCTGGCAAATGCCAAACGTCCTGCACGGTGTTGGGCTGTAAGCACAACCCCCACCTGTGGACATCGGGCCCTCATACCACCCTCATGGAGTCTGTTTCTGACCGTTTGAGCAGACACATGCACATTTGTGGCCTGCTGGAGGTCATTTTGCAGGGCTCTGTTATTTAAGTGTTCCATTTATTTTTTTGAGCAGTGTACATTCACCACTTGGTGTAACCATGAAGCTTGCTTGTCTCCTGGTTATTACAACGCTATATTGCACTGGACATTATTTAAAACTGACATTTTTCTCAAATTCAACTGAAAGTGAGGTTCATAGGTCTGGCATCAGACAATAGTACCATATGATTGGTCACAAAATGTAGTAGACCCAATAATCATGTCACTTGTCTACTGGTTGCTGTGTCATTTTCTGTAGCTATCACTAGAATGGCAGCTCCAATTCATGCATTGCAAAAGGAAATGAATGAGTGCATGTCACTTTGTT